ACCCACCCAATCAGGAGCCACCTGAAACAAAAGCCCCAACTCCCTCTGACCAGGGCAGCCCAGAGAGCTCGTTAGCAGCAGCCCCACCTGGCTAGAGCTTCCCAGGAGAAGTCAAGTCAAGGCCCCCTGCAGGAGCTCTTGCCCAGCTCTCCCTTCCTGCTAGCAGCAAGCACTGTCTAGTTCCTCAGGGGTCGCCAGAAAGCCTCCTCAACTTCCAACAAGGCCCACAAAAGGCCCAAGCAGAGCCCAGACACTGCTGTCTGTTTGCTGCGCTCTTGATTGTTGTGCTCATGATCTTGATTTAGATTCTCCACCTTTCACATACATTTCTGTTCTCCTTGCAAAAAACCCAGAAACTGTTACAGTTCTGAAAGTCAGATGTTTTATTGTAACTCTTACTGGAAAGCTCACAAGCAGCAATGGGTCCTGGGGTATAAAGGCAAAAATTTGTGATGGTTCGGCTTATCTAGAAGTAGATTTTGCTGATGATATTCTGACAAGTTTGATTGGATTTTCAGTGCCTGAAATGAATATACTGAAAAAAAGATCCTACTTCACATGCAAAGCTTAAGGATGGTTTAGAAAAATGTCAAAGACAATAGATCTCTGTTGTTTGATGACTATAGAGCTTAATTCTTTTCAGTCTAAAGCCACTGTATTAATTCTACATGATGCTGATGCAAGGCATCTGGAACAATTGAAGAAATGTTTGTATAAATAATGTGTGAAAACTTGTAGAATGTGGATTAGGAAAAATTTCAGTCAAGATTTCCCCCAGGGGACTGTTGAAAGTTAAATTAAAAGTTCAGTGATACGTCTTTTCTCTCTCGAGAAAAATAGTGGAAAAATGAGAGGAGGAGATGACTGGCAGGGGGAGGGGGAGGAATTTAGTGGTTTGTTTCTTATGGTGATCATATTTAAATAAACTTCAAACATGTTTGACTTGAGAGATTAATGTATCACTTTTATTCTGCAAAATTCTCCGTGTTCTTGACTGGTGATCTGGAGTAGCAGATTTTGTCAGGAAAGTGATAACAAAGAGAAGATTAGCTCATTCTTACACTTAAAAGGATGATTACTAACCTGATTTTTAAAAGGTAGTTATTGGAGACTGCCAGTCTCTTCTCAGAGGAAAGCGATGAAACAAAGAATTATTGTTTAGATGCAAAGTCACTTCTGACTATGCCAACTTGAAAATTTATATGCATAATCAGTGTGCAAGAACTTGAAGTGAAGGATCATCTTACTTTCAATATTCAGGTGAGAAAAAACAGTGTATACTTAAATGGGATAAAAATCTTTGTACTTGTTTAAAAAAAACCCCTCAAAATATTTAAAAATCCTTTATTAATAGAAAAGAATGACCATAACATGGGGAATTTATTATTGTCTTCTTAATCATTACTAATAGTTTTGAACCCACAGCCAACCTTATTAATTAGCTTTTATAGTATTTACTAGTCTAATCTCTTCACAGTGTAGTTGTATACTTGTGCTCCATATATGTTGTACATGTATACCTATGTTAGCCTTAAGTTTGTTTTTTTTAAATTTCTGCTTTTAGAATGTATTTTTAAAAAAGCCAATTAAAGTTTAAATGAAAACTTTTTGATGGAAGCTCTTTAGTCCCTTTCAAAGGAAAATATACACCTTATTGTGTGTATAGAGTATCAGAAATGGATTGCTTGTTTTTTCTTTCTTCCTTTACTCTCTACTTTGTTTTTTGAAAACAGTAGAATTAAAAATCCTGTCTGGGGTAGAGGACCAGTGGCAAGAGAATTCTGTGCAATATTGATATAACTTGCTAAGAATATAAAATTGGTAGCTAAAAGAGGGATTTTCCAATTGGACTGGCAATTTCTTTTTTTGGTAGTCTCTTCCTTCTCTAAATAATGGCTGCTAGGCCATTTGAAACTACTGTAAGAGATTGTCATTATTGGGAATGGGAAAGCTTTGTAAGACATATGCCTTTTTGTGCTTTATTTCATACAGTTAAAAAATGCATGAATTCCTGTGTCCTTTTCCTTCCTCTCCTCCCCCTTTCCTCTCTACTCTAAAGAGAACCTGAGCAAGCCATGACCCTATGAGTCATCTTTGAGCTCTTATTTTCTGAGAGTCTGTTGGGGATTATGCATCATTTAGAACTATAACAGCAAAGGCTTTTGTCTTTGTGAAACCTGTGTTGCTGGATCTTTGATTAATATTTCAGAAAAAATTGTTAGTTAGGGAACTGACCAAGCTTCATCTCATGTAATCTCTTTAACAAGAAATACAGCTAACTATAAGCCTCTAGTGCAGTTTTATGGCAACTTCTTCATTTTTTGTATTATAAGTTATGGAAATAGCTTAATTTCCTTCAAAGTTTTGGGTTTACCCTGAAAAAAGGTGAAGAGACCTTAAAGTTTCAGCTAGACTAATAGTCCATGGTTTTTATTCTACTTGTGTAAAGCAAGAGTGATGTCATTCAAACCACTTAAATGGAATCAAATTAAGTGTTATCAGCTGATCAAGTCACACCTGCCCTCCCCCTTTTTTTTTGAATCTGTATTAAGGATTAGTCATCTCTGCTAAAAGAAGTTCATGTTTCACTGTCCTTTGCCTTAAAGGCACTGTGTTATTTTTCTAACTTTTCCTTTCCCCCTCCCCCCATTGTTCTTGTCTTCATTTTTAGAATGTTCTTCCTGGAAGGCTACTGCTGTGCATGTTCTTAAGAACAAGCAACATAAATCTCAATACTGTCTAGCTGTTTAGTGCTTGACTTTGCACTGTAAATACTTCAATGTAATTTTCTGGCATATAATGATTCCATGTCTTTATTTGAGCCTACAGAATTAATGATAAGTATTACATGGTTTTGTAACTTTCAGACAAGAATGAAAGGAAGTGATTTTGAGAACACATGCTCAGTTAAGGGCAGCATGTCAAACAGAAAATGCCATATGTGATTGTGTGTACCAAATTCAAGTCATTGGTTCATGCTTAATCCACTTAATCATCTTTATTACTAGTCCTAACAGTTTTGCTCTGTCTGTATGTATATTGCCTCTACGTGTCAGGCAGTGGTGCATGTCTCAGTCTTTCAAATAATCAAGAGCTCTTATTATGGGCCAAATTCAGGGAACAAGCTGCATCCTTCACAGATTCTGGAAATGATCAGGAACAAATGTATGACCATGCTTCTGCTAGGGAGTACAACAGAGTTCCTGTAAAAGCTGCTGAAGTCAATTGCCATGGCAGCCCTGAGTTACATGTAACCCTCTAGCAGAAAGCAGTTCCTGCTCTTCCCTTCTTCATGTTATTTCACACATCCACTTTTTCTTGCTAACATTTTTTTTCAGCTGTCAAGTAGACTTCTACATCTGCAGTGTTTCTGTCTCTCTATTCAAATTCAGAAGATGTGTTCTTCAGGAATGTTTTCACATTAATGGAAAAATAACTGCATTCTTTCGTTACTGATCACAATGGAAACTTCTACCTAATTCACTTTTAGAGTATGAAACCTACAATGTTGTCACATGAAGTCTTGGATGTTATTAATATAAATGATGAAAGTTTGCTCTTGCTGCCTTTTTCAGCTGTTACAGAAACTGAAAGCAATAAATTGGTTTTGGCTCTGCCAGTTATCTGCATCAGATGATCTCATTTAAAACCTCCGTCACTAAGGCAAGGTAGTAGAAGGAAGAAAATTCTGTGAGAAACTTAATTGTGCCCTGCTTCCATTAAGGGTATTCACTCTCAGAACATAGAGCAAGGCAGTGGCTAGATCAGAGAACGTGGCAGGATTCCAAATAAACAAGGCTGGCGAGAACAGCTTGAGGACAAGGCTAATCCTACTAGATACCAAATTTGGCCACAGTGATGCCTGTGTTTATAACCCGGCAGCTTCTTTCTTGTTGAATGAAGATGGCGTTCTAAGGAAGCAACAACTAGTTGTAATAATGTCATCTTAAAATACCAGTTAGGAATATTAAAGGATAAAGGATTTCCTAAAGGGTATCCAGTCTGAAAGTGTTACTGTGACTTCACATTAAATTTATACTTCTGTGAAAATTCTCCTACTGATATGACCTGAAGTTAAGTAGAGAATGGAACACTCTTAGATGGAATAGTAATAAAATATTAATAACTTTAAGCTTTTCCCTGCAGGGAGAGAAGAGTGACTTACCATGAAGTATTTTGGGGTTATCTGGTGTCAGGCAAACTTAAATGTATTTACCAGGGAGGAAAGGGCAAAATGGGCTTTAAAAAGTAAATATTAATTTCAGATCCAATTCTCTGCATTATAGTCCTAGAAGAAACAGAATGCTAGGAATAATGACAGCAAACTAGAGGTTAAGGGCAGCCTGACATTGAAACTCTTTTTTCAATTCAAAGTAAGAGGTAGAAGTTCTTTTACAAATTTTCCTTCTTGTATAGATGTATGTGTAGTAGACTTCTGTATCAGTGTGTCATTTTTTTATTCCTTTGTCCTTAAGGAATTTTTCCTATTCACATTGAGTTTTCTAACAGTGCAAAATTGCAGTGTGTTCTGTCAGAATCTGTCCTATTTCTGTTTCTTAGCCTCTTCTCAAGGCTGAACAAACCCAGTTCTCTCAGATGCTTCAGCCTCCTGAAGACCCTGGCAGCCATCTGCTGGACCTGCTCCACTATGTCATTGTCTTTCTTGTACTAGGGAGCCCAAAACTGGACACAGTATTGCACATGCAGTCTCACAAGTGCTGAAGGATCACTTTCCTGGACCTGCTTGCTATTCTTTCTAATCCAGCCTGGTATGTGTTTGGTTGTCTTTGCTGCAAGGGCACACTGCTGACTCAATGTTCAGCTTGTCCTTCAGGGCACGCAGGTCTTACTCCGTAAAGCTGTTTTCTAACTAGCTGGCCTCCAGCCTATATTGTTGCATGGGGTTATTCCCACCCAGATGAAGGACTTTGCATTTGCCTTTCTTGAACTTAATGAGGTTTCTGTCAGTCTATTTCTCCAGCCTGCCAAGGTCCCTGTCCTCTAGTGTATTGACTGTCCCCCGAGTTTGGTGCCTTCTCCATTGCTTTCCCCTTATCCACACAGTCAGTAATCTCATTGTAGAAGATAATCAGATCGGTCAGGCATGATTTGCCCTTGGTAAACCCATGCTGGCTGTTCCCAATCACCTTCTTTTCCTTTGTATGCCTCGATATGGCTTCAGGAAGGATTGGCTCTAACCTTCACAGGGACTGAGGTCAGGCTGCCCAGTCTGTAGTTCCCTGGATCTTCCTCTTTCTTCTCCTTGAAGATGGGTGAGAGTTGCTTTTTTCCAGTCATCGGGAACCTCCTGTGATTGCCGTTATCTTTGCCATATGATAGAGAGTAGCCTTGCAATGACATCAGTCAGCTCCCTTCAGCACCCTCAGCTGCACCCTGTCTGGTCCTGTGGCATTTTAATGTCCACTGGGTTGAGTACTCCCTGACTGCATCTTCCCCTACAGAGGGCAATACTACATTTCCACAGACTGTTAGTAGGCTTGGGGAAATAGGAGGCCGGAAAGCAGACCTTAACTATTAAAAACCAAGGCAAAAACCCCCAAGTGCCGCAGTCTTTTCCATGTCCTTTGTCACTAGGTCCCTTGCCCCATTGAAGAGTGAGCTGAGATTTTTTTTCTCAGCCTTCCTTTTGCTGCTGTACTTACAGAAGCCCTTTTTGTTTCCCCTTCTCATGCTTGCATGCTTGAGCAATGTCCCTATGTT